ATTTCATTGAACATAAAGGAATCATTTATGCTGATAGTTTTAAGTGAGAAAACTATATAATTTGAGATGATAATAATTTCCTACATTTACAGATATGGTTATTTTTTATGTTAAGGCATTTCCATATCATTTTTCTTATTTTATTTCAAGCTTGAAATATAGAGTAGCATGAATTGCTGATTCACATTTTATAGATGAAGGCAGAGATTAAAGAAGTTTAGGCAGCCCTACATAGAATACAGAGCCATGCCATGCTATTTCTGCTGGTAGCAATTAAGATAGAGTCACGATTTTATAACTAGGAGGATTGCAATGATATTATTAAACCCAACTCAGTATTTCATGGGTAAGCTCTTGTGTACCAGAAAGGTTAAATTATTACTTATCAATCACACAATTATATTCAAGGTAGAGTGCAGGATGTGCTACCACAATAGAAGGCCTCACAGGGATGTGTAGTTATATAGAATACACTCCAAAAGCCAATCATTCTGTCACCATGGCCCCTGTTACTTCTCATCTAGGATCCTAGCTGAAGGATCAAACAACCTCACTGTTCAGAGATTCCTGGCCCTGTTTGTGCTCCCAAACATTCTCCATCCCTAAATGTCTTAAATTGGGCTATTTCTGCCAATTAATGTTATAAAGAAGTCACTAATTGTTGACTGGTAGACACTTTCAACAAAGGCACCATGGTGTTCTTCTGAGCAGTCACCAAAAACTGCTTGAGTTGGGAGTTTAGCGGGGAAACCCGACTAATAGGCTTGGACCCCAGCCCTATATTCAGGCAACTGTCTTCCTGCCTGTAAAATAAAGGACTCATATATTTCTGTGATGTTTATGCCATGATGCTAAGATCTGGACAGGACTGTGGTATCCAAACTTTCACTTCACTATTGGCACAACAGACAGCCCATTCCTATAAAAAATTTTCAAAAACAACATCAAGCAAAAACTGTCACAATCAACTTTGCCAGAACTTGAAGAACAGTCATGAGTTTACAACAGAAGGAAGCTGAATCAAAAAGAGAGTGGGCCAACTCCACACAAGGAACATGAACATTACGTACTCCAAACATGTACTAATAAAAAAGAAGGAGAAGGTTTGTTAACAAAGGGGTAGGTAACATGAAATAGTAGAAAATCTTTGTGGCCTGGTTTTTCTCCTCGTCTTACCTTCCTCCTTGGTTTGGCCCACACTTTGACAAGGACAGCTCTGTTCCCAGGGGAGGCCCCTGGTTCTGTTCTGGAGAACAGAGATTATGCTTCTCTGTTCTAACCTGGCTGAGGACCACTGGAAGGACTGAAGCAAAGCACTTATCTTTGTGTAATCATTCACTGGGGGAAACAGTGGGCAACACTGCAAACCCTGCAAAGCCACTGAACAACCCAGGGCCACCTGAAGCAAAAGAGTAAAATTACAGTACACAGTAAAACACTGCAACCTGGGAAGGAAAGTTTACGAGAGTATTTTTGGAAAATTAAGGCACTCAAAAGTAGACACATGCTTGTCTACTGATGAATTTAAAAAGGTAGAAACCCAACCTGGGCAAGACAAAGGCTAAGAAAGGACTGAAAAGACCATAAGTTTTCACCCTGCTCACTTCTAGACTCTTGTTTAACAGCAAGTGAAGGCTATGACAAGGAGTGCCTGCCACAGAATCAATCTGGAGGAAATTTCCTTCTCCTCTCCTCTCTCCTTCCTTGTGTTTCCATATTCTCCTGCACCCCTATATTCAAGGAAATCTTTGTCAAACCTTGCTGTACATAAGCAAAAAGAACAGAGGCTTCAGAGATCACATATCACAAAGAATACAAATATTTTTAAAATTTTGAGAGAAGTAATTGAACAAATAGCTGTAGCCTGCCAAAAGAGAGAGGAAGGGGGAGGGGAGGGAGGGAGGGAGGGAGGGAGGAAAGGAAGGAAAGAAGGAAGGAAGGAAGGAAGAAAGGAAGGAAGAGTAGGCCTATTGCAAGAGGAAAAGACCTGAGAGAGAGAGACAGAGACAGAGAGAGACAGGGAGAGACAGAGGGAAAGGGAAAGGAATCTGATTGCATGTTCCAGGAAAAATTTTATAAACCAATCTTTGAAGTAAATGTTTGAGAAATGAACATTAATGTAGAATGTTGGACCTGTCAAAGAAATTAGTACAAATGATTTACTAGGAAAAGAAGACCTCGGTCTCACCTGCATCCATGGGGAGTTCAAAATCTTAAAGTTTTCATTGAATTTCTCCATCAAGACAAGAAAATTTGTATCTTTATAATCAAAACGTTTCTGGAAAACAATGGAGCAGATCACATTGCAGGGAGCACAGCCTAGGATGAATGTGGGATCACAGGGTGAACCTAAAGTGGAAATAATTTTAAAATACCATTAAAATACACTTATAAATACCTGTGTCTTTTAACTAATGAAGGTAATTTTAGAATCTCTAAAGCAATACTCACATAGAACTGTCCTTATCAATAATTACTCTCATGCTTAAAATCAGCATACCACTTTTTTTACATTTCAATTGACCATTCAACTCTAGCTTCTTTGATAATCATTTGGCAAATTTTGCTTTTAGGATTCACTGCCTTACATAAACATTACTATCTTTGTGGACATGATTCTTAGCCATGCCCATGTTGTTTTGGAGGACAAAAGAAAATAATGAAGTGACTAGTTTTTAAAATAACCCAGAATTCAAGTTACCAGTGCAGAATCACATTTCTATTGAAAGCAAAGAGGAAGACTAAAAAAAATTACAGGAAACACAGGTATTTGATGTAGTTTACATCACAGACAAGGGAAACACAAAAGATTAAATTGATAAACATATTCTTTCTATTTCTTTATTTCAATATGAAAGGGGGAAAAAATAAAATGTCTTGCCCTAGAAAATCACATCCTTTATCACCAGGCCCATATTAAATTTATTTGTGTAAAGCCTGCCCTCTGTAAAATTCAATGTAATTGTCCTATACAGCCATCATCAGAATATTGTTAATACAAGTTTTTTTAATTTAACACTCATTTAGCTCAACTCCAACATTTTACAGAAAAATAAAGCGAAGGAAAAAAAATTTGTACAGGCAGTATTTCAATGAAATCACTGCAACCAAAGCATCAATAAACTTTTTATGTACACAAGCCTCCAAACACACATCATAGATATAATGAAGAAAGAAATTAGGGTGTGGCAAACTAGCTGAGCAAGTGGGTGTGCCAGGATGTGCATAGAAAAAAACAGTTCCAATCAGAAAGTGCCAGTCTCAATTTTTCTTGTGAAAACTCAAGCAGGATTTTTATAAGACAGCTTAGACCTGACAAAAGCATGAAGAGTGGGAGCTAGGAAAGGCTGCTGCCAGTGAGCCTGGGCCACTGTGCACTCACTTTCACAGTGGTCCCGCTCTTACCTGCAGAGTGCACTTCTTTTCCTGCTTTTAGTTGGTCCACACTTGCTCTACAGAGCATGTTTGTCTTGGTTACTTTTTTTTTGTTTTGGGGACAAAATACCTGATGCCCAAAATTAAGAAAGGAAAGGTTTATTTTGCTTACAGTTTGCGGAGGTTTTAGTCTATACTTGGCAGATTACAAGGCAGACTGACACATGACAGAGAGCTACAGCTCAGGGTGACAAAACACAGCAAAAGCAATAAGCACACACCAGGGAAAAGATGGCCAAAAGCACCCTCTTTCTCTCCCTTACGTATGCAAACTATCCACCCCAGGGCGGGTGTAGCTCTCACACTGATAATCAATCAAACTCTAAAAGCCTGCCCCATGGCTGCATGAGGCTTTGGGGGGACACACAGACACAAGCCATAACAATGTTACTTTTTCTACCTTTAATAAATGTAAAACCTTGCTGCCTTTCACACTTATTTTATCCAATTCTCTATTCAGGACAAGAAGAAACCAGAAAGAAACTCTAAAAGAGTCCCCAGCACCTCAGAACCTCAAAACAATAATGGTGACTCGAATGAAAAGTATGGTGAAGAAATGATAGGGGGTGAAATAACAGAAATCTGTTAGGTTGACAACACTTGTGTCAGAAGACACTAAGCTTCTAGAAAAGCTCATATTTTACCCTGGAAGATAAGGGATAACCTGCCATTCTTAATTTGAGATTTCTGTGTATATATACATGTTAAACTGCAAATCAGATTTTCAGTCTTTCCCCTCATTTAGGAGAGATAATTAAAAATTAAGGTAACTCAGAATCCATGCCAAAAATCAGAACCATTATGATAAGCACTTCATAAATGAGTAGATCTAGCCATGGGGGAGAGCTAAATAATTATCATAAAAAATTTAGCACAAAATCCAATTGTTTTGAGATGCACTTGGGATTTTGTTTTTATTCAAATACAGTGAGGTCAACAATTAAGAGATGAAAACCACTGAAAAAAATGATGCTTTCTCAGAGTTCCCAAAACAAAGAGACATGCTACTGTATGCAGAGCCACACTGTAAAGCACCAGGATTGCCCAAAGGAGAGAAGAAACAAAGGGAAATCGTGCAACAGAAATATCACTGGGTTTTACACATGATGGAGTGAAGAGAATAGGTACAGTAATAGGTACTCATTGGATAGTCTGAGTCATTTCAGTGGGCTCTTATTAGTGTCATGGTCCTTACTTACCCAATTCTGGGCCTGGGATGATTTAAGGCAGAAAGAATGCAAGAATGGTATGTGAGAATTTGATAGAGGTAGGTGGGAGTATGGACTATGGACGAGTTCATTTGTACATTAAAGGCATGCTTTCTAAGAATTAGCTAGCCCTCTGAGGGAGAGTTACTCCCTAGGTGTGCAAATCACCTATGATGCCAAAGGATTATAAAATAAAAAACATGATTAATATACAAATAACAAGGAAGAATGCATGGAAAGCTTACAACAAAGCAAATTTACAATCATGGAGAGCCGGGTAAACAGTTACTAATAGCTGAAATCCAGTTTAAAAATTATTTCATACATCAGTGTTTGTATATTTGTACAATTTTGCCATGGCATATATTTACCTAAGATGTATAAAATAATATAATAGTGGTGAATAAAATTATTTAAAGCAGCTTACAGTTGTTTGTTTGCAAGAAAAACAATCATTGAGGGCATTGTTAATAAATGCCTAGGAAAATAATTCATGTATAAGCATTACTACTGGCAGAAATTGAAGACACAGGCCTTTAAATAAGCCCATACACGGCCTTAAGGCTGATCAAAAAATATGGACCGATAAAATGACAGCACATGTCACTCTTTCCTGCTCCAAAGATGTGATGAGATCATTTAAATAAGTCCACTGGACAAGTATTCCTGGGAAAATGTTCCAGAATAGTTAACCCACAGTATCAGTATAGAAAAAAAAAGTTACTCTTTAACAACTGTTTTAAATTATGCTCAAAATTTCCTAACCTTATAATGCACTGATTTGAAAACAAGTGGAAATAAGAGAATTAAATTAGAGTTTTACCCAAACTACACCCAGCATCACTGCATACAAATATAACAAGGACAGGTATTAAAAAACTTCCCTTGGCTCTTGCTTTATACCATCCCCCTCCATGTGAGGGTTAACCATCCCACCCAGAATAAAATGTCTGACAATTCTGCAAGGTTTAGAAGAACATTAGTAGACAAGAGGGCAGTCTGAAAGTCAATGACATAACGAGGCACACACCATTGGTTTTTCTCAATTCTTCCACAAGGCAGCGGGCTTCCTCTTGAATGCGGTCCTCAATGCTCCTCTTCCCCATCCCAAAATTTCTCAGGGTCATCAGTGAGAAACGCCGAATTTCCTTCCATTTTGTTCCATTGCTGAAAATGATCCCTATAGGAATGGGAAACAGAAACTGGAAGGCAGATCCCAAGCAAAAAAGAGGGAAGTGACATGAGGCAACCGTCAAGAGGGCCAACATCTGCTTTAGGAGCTCTTCTAGTTTCATTCCCAGGACCACTGCCCAGCAAATACACATGTGTATATATTCACATGCACACTTACCGTGGCCTCTATTAGTTTTTTCAACAATTGGGAAACTGCCCCTTCCAGAAAACTCCTCTCCAAGATCATCCAGGGCTTCTTTCACTGCTTCATATCCATGCACTACCACAGTGGGCTTCATACCAAAATACAGAGTGAACACAGGGCCATAGACTTTTGAAAACTGGAAAGAGGAAAGAAAACCATAGCAAATAGCAGCAAAAGAAACGTGCTCTGTGCAGTACATTTGTAGGTTACAGAAAAGATCTCTGTGAGAATCTTTCTTTCTTTTTTTTTTTTTTTGCTTTCTGGTACCAGGAATCAAACTCATGACCTTACGATTGCTAGGGAGGCCCTGTGCCACTGAGCTAAATCCCCAGTCCCTCTGCACAGATCTTAAAAGCATTTGCATACCACTCAAATGACCCTCTTTTCTTTCCTTCCTTCTTTCTTGCTTTCTTTCTTTCTTTCTTTCTTTCTTTCTTTCTTTTTTCTTTCCTTCCTTCACATATGTTTATTGCAAACCCATACATAGTTCCTTGACATCACATATAATTTGCTTCTTTGGAAAACTTTGTATATCATAACTGATCTAAACAAAAATATACTGCACATAAAGTAGATGACTTTTGGAATAAAACTTGAACTTAAAACAGTTTATCACCATTCACCTTAGGCAAAAGGTAATAGCAAATGACTGAAACTAACAGGGCAGCAGCATTTTATTAATTTGATTTTACTTACATCTTAAATATTTGCATACTGACAGAGGCATTATAGCATTCCACTGTTTGTGAAGATACACCAAAAATAATAATCCAAGGGAATATTTGCCTTATGATAGCATAGTTTAATATTTTGCCTCCAGTAATTTATTTTGCTAAAAAGTTGGAGTTAATTTCCCTGTGTAGCCACCACAGGAGCATAAGGCTTACTTACATTGGTGAAGGACTTGCTGATGTCCCTAACATCTATCTGCAGGATGTTTCCAATGATTGGAAGAGGAGTAGGGCCAGGGGGAAGCTTCCTTCTCCCAGAGCTCTGTCTCCAGAGTAAAAAGAGAAGCAGACAGGAGAGACCAAGCACCAGGACCACAACTGGATCCATTGAAGCTTCTGTTCTTACTGAGACAACTTAAAGTTTGAAATTCAAAGCTTTTATAATATTCACTGATAACTTACTGTGACCCTGACACTTATGTAACCAATCATTGAGGCACACTATAATTTCTCTTCTGGGGTGAACTCTGGCCCACTGAAAGACATAAAAATAAGGTGTTCCTGACCCTTGTTATCCATTCCACTGCCCCACCCTGGAGATCCTGGTATAACTAGTTTAGGGTGGGGCTCAGGTACTATTTTGTTCTTCTAAATACCTCAGGTGGTGCCAGTGTGCAGACAGAATCTAGAATCATTGAGGAAATTTTTTATCAAAAATTGTTCAATCTTCTCAATTATTAGATGATGACCAGTTGAGAATTTATAACATTAATGACAGCCCATGTACTCTATCCCTTGTATATATAATAATGTTTATCTAGTAATGCTTCTCAAACACTGGGATGTTTTCATTGAAAGCAAAAGCCTTCTGAAATATTTTAATGTGTTGTACTAACACTACAACTGCATGAACACAAAACAGCTAACATAACACCTACAACTTGAATGACCAAGCATGTATTAAGTAATTAGCTAAGTAAATATGCACACCTTTTACTACTAAATCCCTAAAAAGCACCAAAAGGCAGAAATTATTAATTTTTAATTATAAAATGGAGAAAGAGACACTCTAGGAGAACAGGAGATCTGTCTGGATGGCTTGGCTCATAGGTGAAAGACATGGAGTTTGAATGAGACCTTCTGTTGCTCACTGTGGTATAATACAGCTTCACTACAGCTGCCTGAAGAACAATGTTAGCAAACAAAACAACTCTCCACCAGTTTAGTTACTCTGAATGTTCACCACCTTGTTCACAAAATAACAGTGGTAATTCTCTAAGGAAATAAGGTATGATTTCTTCCTTCCCCATCTCCACAGAAGTGAAATTTGCTCAGTGTAACTGAGGGACAAGCAAATCTTAGAGAATTTAGTATGTAGGGCTAGAGATCCCATGGTTCTCTCACCTCTAAATTACTTCCAGAAACAGGTGTTTCTGTTGGTTTCCTGGCTATCATTGTCAGAAACAGTGCTATAAAGTAATACAATACAAAGAAGAGAGATAATAGACAAAACAGTGGACATGCGCTTTGATGGTGGATGGGGAAAGTAGAAACCATCTTTTGTCAGCACTCACACACAAAAAGATGATGAAAGGAGATGACAGACCCTACAGGAGATGACATTTAGTGGTCCTGAGGATCTAAATATCATTGCAGTGCCACATATCACTAGATCAACAGCAATGCTTATACAAAGGAATCTTCTGCAAAGATATCATTGTATTTGTTCTAAACTGATTACAGAAATTATTTCTTTTTTATTTTTATTATATATATTTAGATGTAAAAATGATGCTTCAAGATCTACATACACACATATAGTACAATAATTACTACAACCAAGTTTTCATATCCATTACTTGTTATCTGATAACAGCACCTAAAATCTACTCTTTCAGAAAACTTTCAGTATATAATACAATATTATCCATAGTCCTCATGCTATAGATTAAACCTCTAGCTTTATTCACCCTACCTAACTTAAATTTGTACCCTTTGATTTAATTCTCCCCATTTCCTCCTTCTCCCCACTCCTAATAACCACCGTACTACTGTCAAATATCTAGCAATTATGCTTATAGATGTACTGAACAGAAATCTTTATATTGAGCAAAAACAGTAGTATTTTTATATACTGATAGCGAGCTTGGTGAAAAAGAAATCAAGAAAGCAATCCCATTCACAGTAGTCTGAAAACATCTAGAAATAATTTTAAAAAGGAAAGTGAAAAATTCTATAATAAAAATTATAAAGCTGATGAAAAAATTCAAGGAAACACACAGAAACAAATAAACAAAAAAGGCAAGTTTTTTCAGGTTCATAGAAGAATGGAACAGTATAGAGAACCAGAAATAAATTAACATTCTAAAAGTTAACTGATTTTTTTTCCCCAAAGCACCAAGAACATACCTTAGTGAAAGGTCAGTCTCTTCAAAACAAGTTGCTAGGAAAACTGATATCTATATGTCGGGGAATGAAATGAGGTTCTTCTCCATATAAAAAAATCAAATAGAAATGGACCTAATATAACATCTGAAACAGTGAAACTATTAAAAGAAAACTTAGGGTAAATCTTTCAAGACATGTTTATAGGCAAATATTTTAAAAACAATAAGACTTTCAAACCAGATTATACCAAGCTAAGAACATTCTGACCAGCAAAGAAAATCATCAATAAGGCAAAGAGACAATGTATGTAATGGGGAAAAACAGCTGCAAATGATTTGTCCAACAAAGGATTAATATCAAGAATTTATTAGGAACTAAAACAACTCAATAGCAAAAAAAAACTCGATAAAGAAATAGGAAAATATTTTGACTGGACATGTCTTAAAAGAAGAAATTGTGATTTATTATTATTATCATTAATTATTATTAAGATTTTAAAATTCATAAGTTTGAGCTCAGTCTGGGCAACTTAATGACTTAACAAGATCCTGTCTCAAAATTAAAAAGTAATTAAATAAAAAGGCCTCGGGCTGTAGATCAATGTGAGGGCTCTGAGTCTAATTTCCAAGACAAAAAAAAGTGCTGCCATTTGTGGCAACATGGATGAACCTGGAGATATTATGCTAAGTGGAATAAGTTCAATATAGAAAAATACTGTATGATCTTATTATATGCTGAATCTAAAAAATAAGTCAAATAATTTGAAACAGTAAATAAGTCAAATAATTTGAAACAGTAAAAATTCAAAAATTTTTCCCAGAAGTTTAATCAACTTATAATTATATTAGGAGAGTTCTAATTTCTTCAACTTCTTGCCAATATTTAGTATATTATTATTTGCATTTTAATGAATATGTAATAATGTTTCATATAATTTTAATTTGGATCACCGTGAAGCTTCATGATACTGAGCACTTTTTCAACATTCCACTGGCAATATCAAAACTTCTGTGGAGGGCTTGTATAGTTCAGATAAGAGTCAACTGTGTGTTTCATGTAAATTACATGTATCGTATATATGATATCATGCATATAAATACATGTGCAAATATATGTTTTAGTTTGTTTAACTTTTAACAAACCACAAATATATAGAAAATTTGGAGACTATCAAGTTCAGGGATTTGTAGTAAACTTAGTTAACCAGGTTTCCACTGATGACCATTTTCCCAAGGGTCAAACTCACTAAAGATGGGTCTTAGACACTATCTAATGTCCAAATAGTTTATTCTGGAGAATACTCTGACAAAATGAAGTGACAGCAAGCCAGTCGGACAGGCCAGATACATTCAACAGTCACTTCACCAAGAAGGTCTCCTTTCAGACACTGTTCCAAATTTAAGGACTTTTTGCTTCTTTCTTATGCCTTGTATTCATTCTTCATTAGTTAACAGGTGTTTCTTTCATAAAGGAAGTTTAAGCTATGCCTTCAAAGATAAGCTTTATTGTAAGGTTTAGGAGACAAGCATGTGTGCTGAAGTGGTCTTGTTTACTGGAAACCCCCAGGGCATGGTTGGAATTCCCAGATCAGATTGTATCATACAGAGCAGTGATGCCTGCAAAATTTTCTAGTAGGCCTCATATCTATCATTATTAATCTTATAGCCACAATATGCCTCTATAGCATGCTGCAGAGGTCTCAAGAATTTTCTTTATTTTGAATATTTTAGTGAAAATTTCTGACCTAAAGTTCTAAACCTGAAATATTTTAGTGTGCTTTCCTAAAAAATAGGTCAAGCCTCTTCTATGACCATAATACCCCTTTAAAATAAGGAAATTGATATTGGTGCATGAATGGCCATCTACTATTCATTTCTACTGTGTCATTTCCACTTGTTTCTCACCAGTAAGTTCTTTCTAGTTCAGAATCTAGTTCAGAATCCTGAATCACATTCTAGTTGTCATTTCTCCTTAGTGAACTATGACCTGGAACAGTTCCTCAGTTTTTCCTTGACTTTGTCACCTTTGAAGAACATAGGCTAGAACTTTGTAAAATGTCTCCTGATCTGAGACTCAT